GGGCGTGCAGAACTCTTATTGTTTCTACTGCTTATTGCCGCTTTAAAGCTAGTCCTCTGGTGAAACTTCCACATCCGTTTTTGGATACTACAACAACAAAGAAGTTACTGCAAACAACAAACCGTTTTTTCCCCCCTCTGACGTCATTGCTTGCGGGATAAATAGCAGAATTTTACCATGCTGCCAGACGCTCCTCTCCTCAGTTTCGTCAACAAAAACAATAACAGGCGCTGTTGTGAACAGTTGCACTATTTTCCTAAATGCGGTTTTGATCTTTAAGAGAAGGATGATTAGAAAACTTCTAACATCTTTTTAAGTGCAGAACCTTACACTTCATTTTCAAAATACGTTTATTAAGTAATGTTCCTCCACCCACTTTATAGACTATTTTCAATGCAAGGCACCATTTAAAACACATGGTGGAGTATCAATTTACATGTAGCATAGCAACCAATTATCACAATTATCATGTTCATGTTTCAAGACAGATTCAATTAATTGCACTGATTACTTTCAATTTGATTTGATTTAAATCTTTAATATGAGTCATTTTGACTAATCTGTCATTGCAACATGAACTCAGGTTAAACATTGTTTGTTATGATAAAACAATTCCTCTCAGAACATCAATAATATCAGGATACATAAACATAAAATTACAAAGACCACTCCCACTACAAATAGATAACACAAACACATACAGTAATCTGACAATCATATGATGCAAGCAATGGGTTGATTAAATTGATCCTGCATTAGTATTTACAAAGTGGCTCTTATCCCATCGTTAAATAAAATACACTAAATGCCATTTGGGTATTGTAAAAAACTTTCTACTATGACCTGGTAGGCATCCCTCACAGGAGAGGCTTCCAGTTGTCAGAATTATGCCTGTGTTAGCAGGCAGTAAGTAGCCTTCTGTCTGTATCAACATAGAATATTGGATACTGCATAAACACTGCCATTACAGATGGGGTCAATTCAATTTCCAATTTAATTCAGGAGGTAAACTGAAAATCCAATATTCCTCAAGGTTTTCCAGTGAGATGAGATCTCCAAAGTGCAAAGGGCACGAGGACTTAAGGTTAACATTAGGATTGGGCCAGAGCTTATCTGTTGCCATGCCACTGCCTAAACAAAGCTACCCTGTCTTCTGTTTCCTTCTGTTTCTATCTCAGGAGGATCATGGTAAAGACAGGCCTGAGACCTCAGCCTTGCTACTACCTGTCTGGCCAGCACCTAATCCAGTTCGGACATCCTTTGTTGTTCTGACAACAAGCTTTTTTCAGTTTCAGTCCAATGTTTATTAAAACGTATCGGTTATTTCTACTCTGGTTCTGCTGGCACTGTTTTTTTTTTACCCCCACACATTGCCACAGAGGAAATGCCATTTTACCAAACTGACAAATTTGAAATAGACCCCAACCCTGCTTCCTTTCAACAAACAACAGCTGCATGCATTTTCAGTCTGTAAATGGGAGAAGCTGAAAAGCCTTTGACGCCATGCTTTCTCCTTAAGCCCCATCCCCTCCTCTCCACAAAGCTCACACCACAAAATAAACCACATAATACAATATACTGTACACAACACAAATGTGGAGGCTTGCAGTACACAAAAGCAGTATAACGCCATAGCAACCATACGGTGTAAACACTAACAGAAACGGTATTCAGCAGATCTTTTTGCAAGCAAGCCACTTTGATATTTAAACAGATGAGGGTGCTATCTTTTGTTAGATTGTATTTGTCTTATCAGCTTATGGTTCGTTATGTTGTGTTCTATAAAATATTAGCTAGATTGAGTTATGTAAGGATTTGCCAGATGATTAGCAGTAAACTATATTATTAGTAATTGAATAGGATCTCTATGGGTAAAACTGACTGAAGTACAGTAACCATAACGACATTGTTTAACAATGACATATGGAATAGAAAAATAGCAATTTATACAAACTTTACTGTGTCCCGTGTAGCTCAGTTGGTAGAGCATGGCGTTTGCAACGGCAGGGTTGTGGGTTCGATTCCCACGGGGGGCCAGTATGAAAATGTATGCACTAACTGTAAGTCGCTCTGGATAAGAGCTTCTGCTAAATGACTAAAATGTAAAAATGTGTCAAACCTCTGACCTGAGCGTGCTTTTCAGTTTAATTAGTGCTCTCTCTTTTCAGCACCTGAGTGAGTCCTACCCAATGATGTATGGTGGGGTCCGAAATTATTGACACCCTTGATAAAGATGAGCAAAAATGACAGTATAAAATAAACAATTCAAATACTGAGCTATATTGTAAGCTTGAAAATTTTGAAAATTATATTATTTTACACTAATTAAATTGCTCAGAGAAAGAGATTTTGTTTAATAACAAGTAATACTTTTTCTCAAAAAGGTAGGGGACAAAATTATTGGCACCCCCGTTTTCAATACCTCACCTTGCGAGGATAACGGCACTGAGCCAATTTCTAAAATATTTTATGAGTTGGAGAACACATTGGGAGGGATCTTAGACCATTCCTCCATACAGAATCCTTCCAGATCCTTGATATCCTTTGTCTGCGCTTATGGACTGCCCTCTTCAATTCAAACCACAGGTTTTCAATGGGTTTCATGTCCGGAGACTGAGAGGGCCATTGCAAAATGTTGATTTTGTGTCCAATTTACCATTTCTTTGTGGATTTTGATGTTTTATATAAAAATGTTTATGTTAAGTTCAAAGTATGCATTAAGGTGTCTGTAATAAAATGTTCTTGGCAAAACTAATGTATACATTAATAAATTAATGTTTATAGCTTCCAAAATCTTCATTTACAATGGTGGAGGAATACAAAAATGGCTGCGTAGTGGCTTCTAGTGTTTATACTAATGACGTATATAAACTCTAGATTGCTGATGCTATGTATTGGCCAATGAGAGGCTTTGAAGTCATCGGTCGACCATATTGGTACTCCTTAAAAGAAGCAGTCCTCCATAGGAATAAATGGAATTCTACAGTATTTCAATTAAATGTTTCAAGCACACAATTACATGTACAGTATTTAAGTATTTTTGACGTAGTCGGGACGTAAAATTAGTACTGTCAAACATTTTTTTTACATATTTTTGTATTTTTTATTTGTATGTTTAGCTCACATAATATAATGTAAATGTGATATGACGTGGGTAAATTTCCGCAACAACTAAGAGCGTTGAAGCGCGAGGCTCAACTTTTCCTCGTTTTTGTTGCCCTGGCTACCATGCTGTGAACAGCATGAAGCTAACCCGTGCACATACGCAGATACTGTGTGTGTTGCGTCTAGCTCATCTCAATATATCCGGTGCTGCTCGTGGAAACATAATTTCGCTGAGTCTACCTGTAAAGGTATGAATTAATAACTAATGTATAGACTTTAAAAAATGGCTTCCAAAATATTTTTTACAATGGTGGGGGAGTACTGAAATGGAGGTGCAGTGGCTTCCAAAACGACACCCCCTGTCAGTAATCTAGTGTATATATAAATAATTGGTTTGTACCATGGGTTCTTAAACTTTTTTAGCTTGAGACAAAAATGAGAAATTTAGCAACCTCCCGTGACCCAAATCGTCCTCCAACGACCCAAATTAAGAATAAATAATGTGTGATTAGAGATGTATTCTCACAACTCGCGACCCATAGATTAACAAACCCTGGTTTATACACATACATTTGGTCCTACTCTATGGAAGGCCTATTCATGTTTCCCTAGTTAGAAAAACTGTCTGACTAGCCCGTAGCAATATTTGTGAGTTTGTTTTGTTTGACTCTCAGCCCCTTTTGGCGTTTTCATCGGTCCTATAGAGTAAGGGCATTCTCAGAAACCTTTAATAAAACCTTACATAAAAATACATCTTTCTCACTCCTTATTGAACTGATATGTTTGTTCAGTAACAAGTACAAATGTATTGATCAATAAATAGTTTAATTTGGTCCCCGTTTTCACTTGGGACAGGGACTAGATTTCAGTCCAATACTGCTTCTCCAAAACAGTTATTTTCCACCTGTATACTTTTTAATATTTGTTTAAAACGTATTAACTGATTGTGTTATTGTCGTTACTCTTATTTTGACTTTTTTTTATATTTCACTGCACTGTTAAGGAGGTAGCTCGCAAGTAAGTATTTAATTGCACCGTTTAACCTGTGTATATGATGAATAACCTTTGATTTGATTACATTTGATTTATCATGCTCTGCAGTATCAGATAATGCACTTCCCCTGTGTACTGAAAATAAAAATGTTTCAAGATGGAGTTGAACCAAACTGCCTTTTTCTGAGGCATTATGTTCTTTGCATAAATTAAATAAACATTAAAATAAATAAATTGGTCATTTAGCAGACGCTCTTATCCAGAGTGATTTACAGGAGCAATTAGGGTTAAGTGCCTTGCTCAAGGGCACATCGACAGATTTTTTACCTAGTCGGCTCGGGGATTAGAACCAGCGACCTTTCGGTTACTGGTACAACGCTCTTAACCACTAAGCTACCTGCCACCCCTATATCTATTGGTTTCTCGTCTATATTGTTGACAGTGTTCAGATTGAGACTACTTTAGGGCTAAAACGTCGACATTAAACAGTCTCAACTATATCCCCTCTCCCTGTTTTGCTGACAGTGTTCAAAGAAATCCTCGCTGAGCAAAACAGAATTCATATTCCACTAATTCATATTCAAAGCAAAAACAGAATAAGGGCATCACCATCTTTGCTTTGTTCTCTTTCTTTTGAAGTCTATCTTTGGTGATTGGAGAGAACTTCGTGGCTCTTAGATTATAGTTTGTCAGACATTTTCAAACCCCTATACGATCTAATCGAACGTTGAGATGAGTCCCCTTCCCTCGTAATTTGAGTCCACACATGCCATGCCATCTGAAAGAAAAGAAAATAAGACGGTTCCTATCTTTTCTATGCATTAACATTGTAAATGTAATGTAAATCTAAACATCAAATATCATTAGGGATGCTGAAAGCACCTACACGGTTTCCATCCCCACTAATGATCCCAGGCCTGACACGCTCCCATTGGGCTGGTCTGCTCTTCAACATGTAGACCCTTTTTGTTCATTCCATTGCCGTTCCCTATTCCTCCACCCGCCCCAGTCCCCCCGACCTCAACATGGACCGTGTTGCTTCCCACCTTAGAATTCTTCTTCAACTCCAGCTCAAGGCGCACAGAGTGCGTCACATTATCGTCGGTATACACTTTGTTTCTAGCCCCAAACGGGAGAGGATTGGGGTTACTTGTTGGCTCCCTCTGGCCGCCTCCCCCCTCTCCACCATTACCCCCACCCCCTGCTCTGCCTTCCCGGTTTCCCCTCCCTGCTACCTCAATCCTATTCCCTGGGCGGCAGCAGGAGTTGGTCTGGTAGACTGCCTGGAAGCCCCTCTTGAAGTTCTCATTGAAGTATCCATAGATGATGGGGTTGACAGAGGAGTTGGAGAAGGCCAGCCAGTGGGCGAAAGGGAAGATGTATCCGGTCAGGAGCTCCAGCTGCTCCTCGTCCAGCCCTGCGTAGTCCGTTAGCAGCATCAGGGTCCACAGGGGCAGCCAGGACAGCATGAACAGCAGGGCCACCACAATCAGCATCTTGATCACCTTGATTTTCTTCTGGGAGATCAGCTGCCTGCCCCCCTCAAGCCTGGCTGGAGGAGGAGGATGTGTTGCATCCTGAGGCTCTCTTCTTGACACCACGGATGTGTAGAGCTTCACCCCGATGCGTCCGTACATGACAGTGATGAGAGCCAGGGGCACCAAGTAGATGTGGGTGAACAGCACTGTGGTGTAGACCTTCCGCATCTTCGGGTCGGCAAAGTTCTCGTAGCAGGAGTACAGGGGGTAAGTCATGTTGTAGTCCTGGTTATACACCATGTAGTGATCGGCCACCTCCTCCACGGTCAGGGCAGCTGCTGAGGGACACATGATTACCACAGCCAGGACCCAGATCATTGCTATGGTCGCCTTGGCAACTATTAGGGTGAGTTTGGGCTGAAAAGGGTACACAATGCAGCGGAACCTGTGGAGAGAGGAAAAGGAAGAATGCTTACTGTTTTTATCAACAGCTCTGCAAATCTTTCTCTATCCTTCCTGTCTCTTCTATCTATCCATCCATCCAATCAACAAGTTTAAACAAGTTTAAATAATGAAGCAAATAAACTGGAAAAGAGTTAGAGGAAGAGGCATTGGCAAACCTCAAACAAAACAAGTGGTAATTTAATGATCAAATCTACAATTCACCATTCACCACCACCACCTGTCCTTCACACCACACGCCCCAGCCTCACTGTAGAGCTCCAGCATACCAACCTGTCGACTGCGATGGCCACCAGGGTGAAGACTGAGGCAGCTACAGACATCCCCTGCACCAGACCACTCATTTTACACACAGTGTTGGTAAATGGCCAGCCTGTCGACAAAATAAATTACAATTACCAACAACAACAAAGAGAAAGCATCCATATAGAGTTCAATTTACCTGGTAAAATAATTGTAAATAAAAAATATAGACTTTCCCAGAAGCAATTTGTATAATCTTAGTGTGTACAGTACTAGGCCATGTACAGCACAGTGGTGAAGATACGTGTGTGTTGTGTGGTTAGATTTTGCACAAATGGGAGTATAGATTTGACCCTTCTTTATAGAAGATATGTGTTCAGTGAAATGAATGATCTTAATGAATGATCTGGCTTATAACCTGGCCTAAACATCAATAGAGTATAGTATTAACATACTCCCGTGTGGTGCCAGGATAACAACCTCTTCCTCAACGTGATCAAGACAAAGGAGATGATGGTGGACTACAGGAAAAAAAATAGGACTGAGCACGCCCCCATTCTCATTGACGGGGCTGTAGTGGAACAGGTTGAGAGCTTCAAGTTCCTTGGTGTCCACATCACCAAAAAACTATCATGGTCCAAACACACCAAGACAGTCATGAAGAGGGCACGACAAAGCCTATTCCCCCTCAGGAGACTGAAAACATTTGGCATGGGTCCTCAGATCCTCAAAAAGTTCTACAGTTGCACCATCGAGAGCATCCTGACTGGTTGCATCACCGCATGGTATGGCAACTGCTCGGCCTCCGACCGCAATGCACTACAGAGTGTAGTGCGTACGGCCCAGTACATCACTGGGGCCAAGCTTCCTGCCATCCAGGACCTCTATACCAGGCGGTGTCAGAGGAAGGACCTCAAAATTGTCAAAGACTCCAGCAACCCTAGTCATAGACTGTTCTCTCTGCTACCGCACGGCAAGCGGTACCGGAGCGCCAAGTCTAGGTCCAAAAGGCTTCTTAACAGTTTCTACCCCCAAGCCATAAGACTCCTGAACAGCTAATCATGGCTACCCAGACAATTTGCACTGCCCCCCCACCCCAAACCCATCCCCCTTTTTTACTCTGCTGCTACTCTGTTTATTATTTATGCATAGTCACTTTAACTCTACCCACATGTACATATTACCTCAATTACCTCGACTAGCCGGTGCCCCCGCACATTGACTCTGCACCGGTACCCCCCTGTATATAGCCTCCCTACGGTTATTTTATTTTACTGCTGCTCTTTAGTTATTTGCTTGTATTTTTTTTGCTTAACACTTTTTTTATTTGTTTTACTTTGCATTGTTGGTTAAGGGCTTGTAAGTAAGCATTTCACTGTAATGTCTACACCTGTTGTATTCGGCGCATGTGGCAAATAAAATTTGATTTGATTTGAATTGGCATCCAGTATGTATTGCTGCAGGTCAGGGAAACATTGTAACTGCAGAAACTGCTTCAAAGGCCCAGTGCAGTCAAAATTCTGTTTTTACTGTGCTTTGTATCTTATTGTACAACAGCTAATAAAACGAACACTGTTTTTATCAGTGTTATTTCCTCATAGTTGATGTTTGAAAATATAATTCACACAGGCCCTTCTAATCAGCAGGCTTTGCATGGGTGGAGTTTTGGCTTCCCTGGTGACATCACCAGGCGGTATAGTCCAGCGGCTAAGCGTAAAATCTTAAGGGAATTGTGGCTTTTGTGATAGAGGCATCAAATTTTACACAGCTAGGAGAAGTCCTTAGAAGTATTTTAAGCTATAGTGCCATTGCAGATTTTTTTATATTACCCCAGCTCCCTGGGGCCATATTGGACAGGAGTCACATGGTCATATCGCCATAAATAGTACAGTGCCTTCAGAAAGTATTAATGCCCATTCACTTATTCCACATTTTGTTGTTACAGCCTGAATAAAAAAAATAACATTTTTTTCCTCACCCATCTATACACAATACCCCATAATGGTGAAGTGAAAACATGTTTAGACATTTTTGCAAATGTATTGAAAATGAAATACAGAAATCTCCCATTTACAGGGCATTCGGTAAGTATTCAGACCCCTTGACTTTTTCCATATTTTGTTACGTTATTTTTTCCCCCTCATCAATCTACACACAATAAAAAATAGAAATACCTTATTTACATAAGTATTCAGACAACTTGATTGGACTCCACCTGTGGTAAATTCAATTGATTGGATATGATTTGGAAAGGCACATACCTGTCTATATAAAGGTCCCTCAGTTGACAGTGCATGTCAGAGAAAAAACCAAGCCATGAGGTCAAAGGAATTGTCCGTAGAGCTCCGAGACAGGATTGTGTCGAGGCACAGATCTGGGGAAGGGTACCAACCATCTCTGCAGCACTCCACCAATCAGGCCTTTATGATAGAGTGGCCAGACAGAAGCCACTCCTCAGTAAAAGACACGACAGCCCGCTTGGAGTTTGCCAAAAGGCACCTAGAGACTCTCAGACCATGAGAAACAAGATTCTCAGGTCTGATGAAACCAAGATTGAACTCTTTGGCCTGAATGCCAAGCGTCACATCTGGAGGAAACCTGGCACCATCCCTACGGTGAAGCATGGTGGTGGCAGCATCATGCTGTGGGGATGTTTTTCAGCGGCAGGGACTGGGAGACTAGTCAGGATCGAGGGAAAGATGAACGGAGCAAAGTACAGAGAGATACTTGGTGAAAACCTGCTCCAGGGCGCTCAGGACCTCAGACTGGGGCGAAGGTTCACCTTCCAACAGGACAACGACCCTAAGCACACAGCCAAAACAACGCAGGAGTGGCTTTGGGACAAGTCTCTGAATGTCCTTGAGTGGCCCAGCCAGAGCCCAGACTTGAACCCGATCGAACATCTCTGGTTTGACCTGAAAATAGCTGTGCAGCGACGCTCCCCCTCCAACCTGACAGAGCTTGAGAGGATTTGCAGAGAAGAATAGGAGAAACTCCCCAAATACAGGTGTGCCAAGCTTGTAGCGTCATACCTCTAGGATTTAGCCTGTGCTTAGTGCCATTCCGTTTCTTTTTTATCCTGAACAACTCCCCCGTCCTTAACAATTACAAGCTTACCCATAACATGATGCAGCCACCACTATGCTTGAAAAAATTGAGAGTGGTATTCAGTAATGTGGTGTATAGGACTTGGCCTAAACATAACGCTTTTTATTCAGGACATAAAGTTAATTGCTTTGCCACATTTTTTGTAGTATTACTTTAGTGCTTTGTTGCAAACAGGATGCATGTTTTGGAATATTTGTATTCTGTACAGGCTTCCTTCTTTTCACTCTGTCAATTAGGTTAGTATTGCGGAGTAACTACAATGTTGTTGATCCATCCTCAGTTATCTCATATCACAGCCATTAAACTTTGTAGCTAATTTAAAGTCACTATTGGCCTCATGGTGAAATCCCTGAGTGGTTTCCTTCCTCTCCTGCAACTGAGTTAGGAAGGACGCCTCTATCTTTGTCGTGACTGGGTGTATTGATACACCATACAAAGTGTAATTCATAATTCACCATGCTCAAAGGGATAGTCAATGTCAATAGTTTTTTTTACCCATCTACCAATAGGTACCCTTCTTTGCGAGGCATTGGAAAAACTCTGTGGTTGAATCTGTGTTTGAAATTCACTGATCGACAGAAGGACCTTACAGATAATTGTGAGTGGGGTACAGAGATGAGGTAGTCATTCAAAAATCATGTTGAACATTATTATTGCACACAGAGTGAGTCCATGCAACTTATTATTTGACTTGTTAAGCAAAATGTTTACTCCTGAACTTATTTAGACTTGCCATAACAAAGGGGTTGAATATTTATTGATTAAAGTCATTTCAGCTTTTCAATTTCTATTCATTTGTAAAAATTTCAAAAACATAATTCCACTTTGACATTATGGGTTATTGTGTGTAGGCCATTGACATTTTTTTTGTGTGCAATTTAATCCATTTTAAATTCAGGCTGTAACACAACACATTTTGGAAAAAGTCAAGGGGTGTGAATACTTTCTGAAGGCACTGTAGGTAAATAAAGCCCAGTGATTGCTTAAAATGTACCTAAAATCCAACATTTCCCAAGTGATTCCATACATTGAAACTAGTTCAATGGAGTTTACGCTCTCCCTCTCTTTCTCCCTGCAGCAGGTCTTGCTCTTCTCTGTTGTGAGGAAATGGGTGTTTCAGAAATCTGTGAATCATGGACAAATACAATGTTTTATTGAAAGCGTATTTCTATCAAAAGTACTATCGGTTTTGTCATGCATACTCACGCTCCCTCTCTCCAGCGCTCGATGTCACCGGTCTACTAACCACCGGCCCTGGCAACCATTATTACGCACACCTGGACTTCATCATCACCTTGATTACCTTCCCTTTATTTAGCCCTCAGTAGCCTCAGTCATCAGGCAGTATTGGTTTGTTTTCATGTTCAGTACGCATCCCCTGTTTTGTTCAATTGCCTTGCATCATAGTTATTAAACTCTCCTTCTGCACCTGCTTCCTGACTCCCTGCGTATACGTGACAGGTTGAGTCAGGAAATGTGTACTTTTCCACCTCAAACATTTGCGATTATTTTATAGCATTATTTGTGACCGACTGACAAGAGCAGAGACGGGTAACAACTGCACATGTGCGCTCGTTGGGGAATCCCTGCTAAGTAAAAGGACACTACCTCCCCTTACTTTTTGGTGGGAGAAGGAACTGGTTAATGAGAAAAAATAAGAAACCCACACACTGCTCTTGCTAGTATCACTGCTCTTTATTAAGCTTTACGTATTGGCCTCAAGGCCTTCGCCAGAGCCGATACGTAAAGCTAAATAAAGAGCAGTGATACTAGCAAGAGCAGTGTGCAGGTTTCTTCTTTTTTCTCATGTTATTCAACTCTTACCATACACCTGCAACAAAGATAGCTCAGATGTGCAAGTGGCTTTTGAATTTAGAAGGAACTGGTTTGAAAGTTTAGAGAGTTACCACAGGTAAAGTTAGTTCTGAAAAGTGGAAATCTGAAGAGATGGCAGCTGGTGTTCGGTCTCTGGCTGCAGTTTATATATGAAATC